TTATGTAAATTTATTAAATATACCTCTATTTGTTTAAACAATATTTGCATAATATTAGATATTATTGTACGTCATATTTGATATTGTGATAAAAACTATTATATAAATGTATTATTTCTTAAACTTAGATCAGCTACACTATAAAAAGTTGTCGAGATTTCCTATGATGGTTCTTGAGATTTCTTATAATTTTTGATATCTCATTTTGAAAAATATAATGTTTTTAAGTTTAATTTTTGTTTCTTATTAAAAAAAAAAAAAAAAAAAAAAAGACCTACAATCACCTCTTCATATCAAATACTATTAATTGATGTAACAATTTCATATTTGTTTACAATTCTATGTAAAAGATTTTCATTTAAAGTAAAAATTTGAAATTCTTTTTTAATAATTGATTAAATTAAGAGACATGACACATAGATCAATAATCTCTCAATTTGAATTTTAATAAAATCCAACCTTATAAATTACTTAATGGTCTAAACAAATATTATATTAGATTAACTCAAAACACAAAAATACTACAATTCTTCCTAATATAGTATCGATTTTCTTACGATTGCCAACGATACCATGCCTCTTAGGGATGTCAACGGGGGCAAACGGGATGCGGATTGCATCCCCCGCCCCCGCCCCCATCCCCGATTAGTTTTGAGATATTTTTTTATTAGGCTAAAAGATGTTGTCGTTTGGGTTTAAAGAAACTATTTTTTTTGGGTTAAAAATAGTTATTTATAACATAAATTTACAAGTTAAAAATAAAAATGTTATCACGTCTCCAAAACGTTATACTAACAACATTGCGATATTTTATTATATATATATATATATATATATATATATATATATATATATATATATATATATATATATATATATATATATATTAATGGGAACCCATAGGGGTTTCGGGACATGACCGCCCACCCATCCCCGCCCTCGAAATTAAAACGGAGGTTAACCTTGCCTCAACCCCTGATTTTTTAACAAATATCCCCATATGAGATCGGAGCCCCACGGGTTTGGGGTCCACATGACTTTTTGAAATCCCTAACGCCTACACAACTCATATATTTCAAAAAGTTGATTCATACCATCCTACCGTTACAAACATCACAAAGTTTTATTTTTAAACAACAATAGTCTGACGAAAGAAAATTAATTGATGAATGAAAACTTTTACCAAGAAATAAACTTATTGCCGAAAGAAAATATTTGTTACCGCCGCTTTGTGCGGGTACACCACTAGTATATATATATATATATATATATATATATATATATATATATATATATATATATATATATATATATATATATATATATATATATATATATACAAATTAAACTTTTAATCTTATAATAATATAATGGTGTATTTTAAACTTTTAAAATACTAGGTGGTTTAATCTTTTAAATAAATTAGACTTTTAATTTAATTAAAATTTTAAACCATGTTATTATGGATTTATTAATACTCTCTTACTTAATCTTTTATTTAATTATTAATAAGGCCATAATTATTCAATCTAGTTGTGTCCATTCAAATTTCCAAAATTAAAAGCTTAAATTCTAAATTTAAATTAGGAAACCAAAAGAACGTATTTTAAACATTTAAAATGCTAGGGTTTTAGAATTTAATATTTCATAATTAAAACTTTTAATCAAATTTTAAATTCCAAGACTTGAGGATAATTTTTGAAACTTTTCAAAACTTCTAGATTGAATTTAAAACAATTAAATTAATCATATAATTTTTATCATTATCACGCATATGATCTAATCTAATTTATTTGGCAAGAAAATTCAAATAAAATTTTACAAATAATTAATTTATCACGTAATCTTGTAATTATGTTAAAATTTTGACAATTATCTTTTAATTCGATGAGGATATCCATTACTATATTACAAAATTCGAATTTAATCAGTAAAAACAAATTCTAGTAATTATCCAAATCTAATTTAGGCCAAAAATCCAAAAAACATGCCACCAGACGAACCAACTCGTCGAGTCCAACAATCAGAGGCTTAAAACGAAACTTTTTCATCTTTGAAAAAAATACAATTGCGTCATACAATATAAAAACACCCTAAGATCTGATACCACTGATGAGTTTTGAGAACTATAACATTCATATGGTGTACATGCAACCCTAATTACTTTGGATCTAGGTTTTTCTCAAGTTATACATGCAAATTAAAATTCCAAAGCAAGAACCCAAATCTAGCATTCATAAGATCTAAATTCTATTCAAATTAGGGTTAGAAGAAGACCTTTCTTATTGTTGATTTGATCTTGACCTTCAAGAGCTGAGTGACTCAAATTTGCACCTCTAATGGAGTCACAAACACCACTAGCAACAAGGAAGAACAAGAGAGAGAGAGAGAGAGAGAGAGAGGAAGAGGAGGCCTCAAAATCAGCTAGGGTTTCTTATGAAATCATAGGGTCTGATTTTGTGAGCCATGAGGTTCCTTTTATAGTTGAGGCTCCTAGGGTTTACAACTTGGAAACCCTAATTCCCTTGCTTAGGCCCTAAGCAACATATGGATCCTCATATGGCATGCCTTGGACGAAATTTTATGGGTTCCCCATAGATTTTCGTTTATCTTATGCTAATAGGATCCATTAGCCCAAACTACAGCTATTACTGATCTACATAATCAGTCACCGTCAATTTAATCAATCTCTTTTCATCACAAAATTAATTTCAAATTAATTTATGATCAATACCAATTAAATAATATGTTTTCTCAATTAATACATTATTCTTATAATATATTAATAAATCATAAACTAACCTCTTTCTCTACAATTCATCATATCCGTTGCTATGGTGAAAGCAAACCAAATTGACCATGCTACTATCGGGTTAAGTACATCCCAATTATAGTTATGACCTTAGACACCTAATCCAATAAAGACGCCATCCACAAGATTTAAAGTTCTTTAACTCCCAAAGCATCCAATAAAGGGACCAAAATACTCTAAAAACGACCTCATACTTGAAACATGAAGAATAATGGCCAAAGTATGAACTTTATACCTCCAACAACTCAAATTTTTGAAAGTGATGTTGGATCCAAGCTTTCTCTTTGTTCCCTTGCTTCCTTGTAACTTCCTTTTTCCTCAAGTTCCACCAAAATCCAAGAAATGACCTTCGAATAAAAGGAATAAGCTCTCAAATCTTCATGGAGGCTAGGGTTTTGTTTGGAAAGGTTGGAGGCTGAAGAAGGTGTCCTAATCCTTGAGATTAGGTGCTTAAATAAGGAAAAAACCCTAACAATCATGGGCTTAAATTGCAAGGCTGCCACGTCGTGGAGGCCATTCGGATACACATTTTATACATTTTATACACTTGGCATGACACGTCGTGACATAAGGTTTTTCCCAAAACCTTACCTTTTATCCCTCTAAGCCCTTAACTGATCTATTTTAGAAAAATGGGTGTTACACTTGAGTGGTTTGTAGCTTAGAATTGTAACCTTACTGGTACACTTACATGGGTTTTGGATCTCAGTGTAGTAAACTTCTTAGTTATGTAGATCTGGGTGTAAATCAGATCTTCATTTCTATTTTGTACGTTTCATTGTTGTCGGGTTGTGCAAAGATGAAATCCCTATATTTTTTCAGAAACTAGATGGAGTTTGTTGATGTTTCAATGGCGAGCTCCTAAAGTTTAATGTTTATGAGAATATCAAATACGACCATTCGCCGCTAGATGGATTCCAATTCACGATCTAGAAATTATCAACGATAGATTCCGCCACCACCCCATCTCCTTCCTTCATCCTATTTATATTTCCCAAGCTCTTCTAGATTTGATTTATTTTTCATGTGTTTCATTTGCGGTGGTTGTATCAGACATTAATGGTGGTGGCCGCTAGAGGTGGTGTTTCACACACTGATAACGGGAGGAGGGTTGGGTGTGATTTGGGTTTTTGAATTAAAAGAACCCAATTATGTGTGTTTTTGTGTATGTGTGTGTTTGTGAGAGAGAGAGAGGCTCATTTATATTATTAATAAAACATCAAATTAAATACAAAAAATATATTAGGAGGATATTTTAATCTTTTCATTTTTTAGAGTGATCAAAATCATAAGTAAAATAGCTCTCCAATCTAAAAAAATCATGGTTTATACCAAAATCTAGAGAAAATAAATAACACATGAACCTTTTTTTATAGTTTTCTCTAATTTTTATATTATTTTTATTTTTTTTTTCAAAATATATATATGAAAAACTAAATATTATTTATAATACATTATACAATTAAATAGAGATGGGTAAGTTCAAATAAGACAAATATTAAAAAATTGAACGACAAACTCAAATATAATTTTCTTGTTACCTTTTTAGTTTTATAACTTTTAATCTTTTATAATGAAAATTTATGTTCTATTTTAATCGATATTATTGGTTTTATTAAATACTAACCTTTTTTTTATATTGAAATTTATAGACAAAAGCATCATCACATCCCACTCATAAACAAATATTGGTAAAGATGACAAATATTTATGTGTCATCAAATTTTGGTAAACAAAAACATCATCACCACACGGTCCACGCCTTTTAGCCTTAGTAACATAGAAATTTATATATAACTTCAAACTTAATCCATTTAACCGAAGAAGCATGTTGATTCTCGTCAAAACATTGTCACGTATAATTGTTAATGGAGGCTCATCAGACCAATCGAAAAACTCAAGCTCAGGCTCAAAGTCGGAATCACAGATCCAATATCATAGCAAAATACGTTTAGCAACCCCTAAACATATTTATACTTTTTAATTATATGGATACTTAATATGTTAAGTGTGATGATTGCAAAACGTCAAAAACCATAATTTCAAAATACAACTTTTAATATTTAAATAAAAATACAATGTTACGATAGAAACAAATAGAAACAAAACATTATTATAAACAAATAGATAAATAGTCCCTTGTTATTTCTTTCCTTTAGCATTGTCATCAAGAATTCAACTCTCAAGATTAAAGAATGGTTGACAAAAACTCATCCATTGCTTTGTAAGAAGAACCATCAACACTTGCTCTTATCAATCTCCCAACTTCACTTGCTTTTCTTCTCATATCATTCCCTTTTCGCTCTTCACTTTTATCCAACACCATCTCTATAACATTCTTCACCTTCTCTTTCACAATCCTCCCATGCACCCCTCTTGTCAACACCACACAAACACCCATCTCCTCCACCAACATCTTGGCATTATACCCTTGTTCTGCCGCCAACGGCCACCCAATAATCGGAACCCCTTGGCTGAGACTCTCCATCACCGAATTCCACCCACAATGGCTCAAGAAAGCTCCCGTTGATGGGTGGCAAAGTATCTCCAACTGTGGTGCCCAACCATGCACCATCAATCCTTGTTTCCCAATTCTATCCTCAAAACCCAAAGGCAACCATTCGGGTTTGAACTCCCCTTTGAGATCAAACCCGATTGGTGGCCTAATTACCCAAATAAAAGGCTTCTTGCTCTCTTCAAGCCCTTTTGCTAATTCCATCATTTGGGTTTCACTTATTGTGTTTTGAGATCCAAATGAAATGTAAAGCACCGAATCTTGAGGGTGAGAGTCTAACCATTCAATGCATTCTTCGGGTCGGATAACAGGTTGTTTTCCGGATCTTCGACCGACAATACCCGAACCCGGATTGGTTTTCAACATCTTTTGTGGGAGGAGTGGGCCAATACACCAAACAGGGAGTTTTATGTAATTTCGCAAGGTCTCACATCCCATGTTCTCTATCTCTTCAACTGTGTTACACAACCAACCTTTTGATTTGAGTGAAAGAGAGATTTGAGGTTGGAAGAATGTAGACCATTCATCTTTACCATCAGCAGCTATAAGATAACTATGTAGCTGCGTGATTGAAAACCGGCAAGATTCCGGGAACCCAGGCACCGGAAATTCGTCGTGGGTTCCGCCATTTGCGAGGTTCCGGTGAGGAAGATTCATCCAGATGGAACTGTATGCGGCTGAGCCGTACGCGCCGCCGGTGGTGAATGAGTAATTAACAGTACCAAAAGACTTTGCTACCTCATTAGCCCAACCCATGAACACGTCCGAGATTATACATACCGGCGGACTTCCTTCGTCGGAAATGACATCGGAGATGAACCCACGTAGCGGCGTTTCAAGGGCTGTGGAAGCGTGGAACAGTTTGATGATTTGGGTGATGGGTAGGCCATCGGTGTTTTCAGAGTTGGGAGGGAGGCCGTGGTCGGAGCTGTTGAAAGGGAGAGATTTAAGGTGGATTTGGTGGGGCGGAGAAGGGCCGTTGGCGATGGCTGAGCGGAGGTAGTTGATGTTAAGAGGGCTGTTGACGATGGTGATGGTGAAGATGGGATTGTGGTTAAGGATTCGGTGGGCTAATTCCAAAAAGGGTATCAGATGACCTTGCGCCATGAATGGCACCATGACTATGTGTTTAGGCAGTTGAGCTTCCATCGCTGAAAATATGCACCAAGTTTTTGTTTTAGAATAATAAACATCGCATGTGTTTATGTAGTGGAGTTTCCAATGACCTTACGCCATTAATGGCACCATGACTATGTGTCTCTCTCTAACACCAAAGAAACAACGTTCAATTTGAGAATGATTGAATGAATACACATTTTAATATTGTACTTAAAATGTATACGTTGACATTTTCTTTTTGTCGTTTTTTTAACATCTGTTCTCGAGTTCACTGGAGAAAAAAAAGAAATGGAGGGAAATAGAAAAAAAAATATTCATTAATACCTTGTTCCCGAGTCGAAATTAACGAGCGAAGCAGAAATAAAAGAAGAGAAATGGAGAGAAAGAATGAATCAAGAATTCAAGAGTGTTCCTGAGGTTTTTTTTTTTTTTTTTTTTTTTTTTTTTTTGGAGTGATTTGAGAAGAAAGGAAAGGAATTCACAATATTTTTTTCTTTTCTAATCTTCCTCCCAAATCGGGGAGATTTGGAGAGAAGAGAATCACTAATAAATTTTTTTTTATGATTACAAAACTACCCCCTATATTTGGAGAGAAGAGAATCACTGATAAAAAAAAATCACTGTTTTCTGACAAGGGTATATTGTCTACATTTAGTTTTCATTTATTTTCATTCAAATTCAGAAACACAAAGAAAAAAATAATAATTTAATTTCTCTCGAACTCGGGAACAAAAAAATACATTTTACTTTTTTTCTTTTCCTTTCCCTCCGCTTCCTTCCGGTTTGGAAGGATTTTGAAAAAAAAGAATCAAATGATTATTTTTACTTCAATTTCTTTCGAGTTTGAAAACACAAAAGAAAAAGTTGGGAACTATGGGTTCAATTTCTTTCGAATTTGAAAACACAAAAGAAAAACTTGGGAACTAGGGGTGATGGTTGTTTCTTGTTTTGCTTTGCTTTGTAATTAACATTTATGGACTTGTGTGTTTCTTGCTGTTTTGTTGTGTTCTTAAATTTAAGTTGAAACTTTTGCTCCTTTTACAAAATATCATAACATATCTTGTTTGATGGGTTCTTAATAATTGATTTTAACTATGAAGTGTTTGTTCCAAACTAATACATTAACACACTGTAATTTTTAGCATATATTTTTGAGTTTTAAAGTTTGATGATGATAATTATTTTTTAAAAATAAAATAAAAGAATGGGTGTAAATATGACAAAGCTTCATAAATGGCCTCTATGCTTTTATAAAATCTGAAGTTTAGTTTCTAAGTTTAAACAACCTCCCAGATGGTTTTAATAGTTTCAAAACTTTTGATGCTTGGTCTTTATTGCTCGCTCGGTCAATTTTTGTCTACTAAGTGAAGGGTATTTTTATCATTTCACTACCATAGGACCATTTATGAATTTTTGTCTTTTATATATATATATATATATATATATATATATATATATATATATATATATATATATATATATATATATATATATATATATATATATATATATATATATATATATAAGGGTCACTCTCTCCCCCTCTCTCTATCTCTCTCTCAAATCTTTGATTGCTTTCTCTCACTAAAATCAAAATAAAATCCTAAAATCTACAATCTCATTTGGATTTTGCTTCTTTCAACCACCTATATAATATTATTCCTTTTCTGGATTAATATCTCATTGTGGCCACTTTGATTTTTTAGTTGTTTTTTCTTCTCTTTTGGAGTTTACACTCAATTTTTATATTTTCACGCAAAGTGTTTGTTAAAATTATTGAATGAGATATACCCCTATGATTTGGGATATAAATGTCACTCTTTTTGCACCAAGACTCTTTCCTTAAAGTATCTTGTTTAATTTGAACAATTTTTTCTTGCTTCGGTTGTATTTATTCTAAGTTTCCATCTAGATTTTAGAGTTCATTTGATTGTCAATTTTACAAAGTCAGTGATGACATACGCGACTTCCTACAAGTCTACATCTCTCCTCATTTTGTGATTATCTAAGTTCCTGATTACTTTTCTGAAGGGTATTGTAATATTGTTAAATGACCTATTTGTCCTCACTATATGGCTATCATAATTGCTATAGTGTTTAACAATAAAGATGGTTTTGTATTTACATATAATAAAAAGAAAATTTTATTATAGTTTGTGACTGTAGTGCTCGAGGCTTTGGCTGCAACTTTATCTATACAAATGATTTTATTTTGCTTAGTTATAAAATGAAGTTGTATGTAATTCTCGTGAAGAAGATCTCATAAGTGACAGGAAATTGCATTTAATTTTGATCAATTTTGATTTTTTTTTTATGGGTAGAGAGTTAAAACTTACTTTTGCTATTATATGGAGATGGGCCTGCTGCTAGTTCCATATTTGAAAGAATAATCTAATTTCACTTGATATTGTTCATTATTGTATTATAAATATTATAATTTGATAAATTAAAATCATTTATTTTTAATTGAAAAAATTATATCTTAACCAATCCCAGCAATATTTTTGATTTATGATGTATGGAAACTAAAATGATTGTTCATTCCTAACACGACACTGAGTAATCATCAACAAATGCTATGGTGAGAATACGGAAAGTTAAGAAGAATCACGAACAATGTATTCTATATAAGAAAAGCAAGTTGAACATGAAAACTTTTCCAAAGCTAACATGAATTCTTCAAAACCTATCAGATTTGAAAAAAAAATCATCCATACCTTATGCATAAAAAATTTTGATTATGAAATCTTGCACTTTTGTACCCATGTTGTCGCAATATAATCATAAACTTCTAAGAACCAGCAAATAACCAGCAAAACACAGAAGAAACCACTAAATAAAGGTTTTAACCATCGGGTAAAATACTAAAATTCTGAATTCCTCTAAAGAAGTGAATATTTCAGAAACCAATATGAACTTGATGAGAAAAATTGCGAATCTTGGAGCCTTTCACATAGGAATAATGTCATTTCTTAGCTAAACAACAAAATACATTCTTTTTGAATTTTTCGTGTTTTTCTAAAATAAAAACAAAAAGAGAAAGAAACAAAAAATCTTTGTGTTTTTCTGTTTTTGAGGTTTCGATGAAATGAAAAAGATAAGAAACAAATATAAGAAGGGTTTTGAAAGAAACAACCAAGAAAAAGATAAGAAACAAAAAGAATTTGGATAGAAAGGGTAAAAATGGTTAAAACCCAAGAAATTGTAGACAATTCTGAAAATGGGGTTAAAATTGTTAAATATTCAAAGAATAGGGACAGGAATTATAAATTATACCCATCATCTGTATTACAAACTCGCTTCTTTGACTTAGATGGTCAAAATCAGTTTCGATATATGAAGCCCGATCTTGAAACCATATACGGATACGCACCCTCAAGCCAATAGTTCCGATATCAAACCAAAATTAGTTTCGATTTTGATTTACCAATTCCGATTACGAAGTCTTCCAATGATATGAATTGATCGGAAGATGAACACTAACTTCCGATTTTGTTTTTTGATTATGAGACTTCCGATTTGTGTTGTTAATTCCGATTACTTTGTTATGATAAACTAATTTCGAGATCAAAGATCGATTCAGATTCCAGAATCAAAATCAATTGTTGAAAACAAAATGTAATATTTAATTTCGATTGTAGGTTGGATTATGATGCAAGTTCATATACGAACTTAAATCTGAAATCCTGAAATCACGATCCAACTCGCCGAGTTCCTTTGCTACTCATAGTCGTGATAAAGCAAGTCAACTCGTCAAGTCCTCGTCGGCCTCGTCGAGTACTACCTGGTACAGAATCGGGACGAATCGACTTAACTCGTCAAGTTCCTCTATGGACTCGACGAGTTCCTCAGTCTGTTTAAGCCTTCTTAATGGATTAAACCCCTACTCTTCATATCTAAGCTTCTTATTTTTCATGCACACTGAAATCGTCCTTTTAAGGGTACAACTTTACCCGTTAATACATCTACTTTAGCTCAAACCCTAACCCTTTAGGACCTATATCTTGGTCCCCAAGCCATCCATACACCAAACTAACGCCTACAAACAGAGTTCTAGACCCAAAACACCCCATAAACACATAAAGGATCCACCTTTTACTCTATGCATGACCTTTTTGAGCTTAAAAGGCCAAAATGACACCGTATGGCTTGCATGGGGATTTAATAGTCACAAAGTTTGCACATTTATGCCATGAAAACCCTTCATGATTCCTAATCTGAATGCATACTCACTTGGGATGTCTATGTCCCAAAGATTAAGATTCTTTGACCAAAAATCCACCATAAAATGATGATAAAGAGATCTAAGATACTACTAGGCAAGTTTGAGACTTGCTTACCAGAAAATGATAAGGAAAAAACGAAGTCTCTGGATCTACCATCTTTTTCTTGAATCCTCAAGCTTCTCCTTCCTTCACAACCTTCAAAACACGCAAAGTTTCGCTCACAAAAGGCTCACAAGCTCACAATTGCATTAGGGTTTTTGAATATAGGGTAAACTCATTGATGGTAAGGTCATTTAGATTTATATATTATTGTTTTTAGAATTTCTATAATGTGTAATTTGGAGTAAATAATTTTCTTCTAATAGTTCTTTTTGGGTAAACTTGAAAGGATCATGTCCTTGTGTTATTTTTTGAGGATACTTCCAAACTACTATTACAATACGATTTTTTTTTCATGGCTATTGAATTATTTATTGTCCTTGGTTGTAATCAAAGAATTTCTTATTAATTGGAATTGTATTCCGTTTTGCACGCATGTGTTCAATGAAATGCTAATAATCGTATGGGTGAAATTGGTTATTCGAATTGCATAAATATTATTCGATTTTGAATTTTGAGTGATTAATTTCATAATTTGATTTGGGTATGTGGATTTGTCACGTGGTTGTGTCTTATGTTTATTTACATGCTACATCTGTTGATCTTATTAATCTCGTCCAATCTTGAGTTTTTAGTTGAAATCAAACTTTGAAAAAGTAACTGAAATTGTCCCAGTATCGTTCTTTTAATGGATTCTAGTTTTAT